AGTAATGGTTGGATACGGGAAAGACAGTCGTTCTTACCGCATTTACAATCCACACACTCGCCGGATCACTGAAAGCCGCAACGTAACTTTCATTGAGACCACACCAAGAACTCTGACCACAAATTGACACATCACTCGTCGACGAGAATCCCATCGAGGAAGACACAGCTTATGAAGAAGATGTCCTTGATCATCTCTCCATAATCCAAGCTAATTCGAACGACGATATTCAACAATCATCGAACATTCCGAATCATTTGGTCGATATTCGAAACTCCGAACCATCACCAAATTCAGAAAGGGCACGTAGTCCGTCTACAACCCCATCTGACTATTATTTTGGCAATTCCTTACAAGATAATTCCGATATTCCGTCAAGTTCATCACGGCCTCCATCGCCAACTCCAGAATAACGGCAGTACGCCGTTATACCAAGACGAACAAGATCATCCGGACCAGCCCAAGAAAACATCAGAACAAACGTAAACGACAGAACATCGCGAGAACTAAAAAGTCTACGAAGATACAATCCATTGCCAAGCGCTGACTATGCACACGAGACACTGTATCCTCAGTTCGTTTCATACGTATATACATCCCAAACGGGAGTTCAATCAAATCCAGATCCAGCTAGCATACCGCTGCCGAACACGTTTGCAGAAGCGCAAGCATCCCCACAAGCAAAAATGTGGATGAAAACTATGGATCAAGAAATGGAACGATTGAAAGAAAATGAAGTGTATGATCTCATTCCAATATCTACTGTTCCTTCAACCAGCAAAGTGATCGGAACACGATAGGTGTTCAAAGTTAAAAGTGACTACACTTTAAAGCCAGAATAGTATGTCAAGGTTGGAGCCAACGACCAGGAATTGACTGCGGAGCCACCTTCGCACCAGTATGTCGCGTCGAGAGCATACGGGTACTATAGCCATTGCGACCCAATTCGACTGGGACGTCACCATTTGTGATGTTCGCAGTGCTTTTCTCCAAAGCCCCATCGACCAGCCAACGTTTTGCAAACAGGCTGACGGCTATGAAGTACCAGGGCCAAGCCCAGGCAACCCTCTAGTCATGAAACTGAAACAAGCAGTTTACGGTTTACGTACAGCCAGTCGTACTTGGTACAATACGCTGGACAAGGCATTGAAAATCATTGGTTTTGAGCCAACCAAAAGTGACCCTTGTTTCTATTTGTTCACAAAAGAAAATGGGTACGCAATGCTAACAATATACGTCGATGACATTCTGATATCATCTCCCGACAAGATATTACTAGGACAGCTGAAAGAAAAGCTGATGCAACGATTTTCCATGACAGATTTGGGAGAAGTATTCTTATTTTGGGTATGAAGATTAAGATTACCCGTGACCGTGCGAAAAAGACTCTTCGCATAAGCCAGTCAGACTATACAAATTCTATCCTGGAAAGATTCAACATGACTGACTGCAAGCGAGTTAGCACTCCAAGCACTGGAGTTGAAATCTCAACAGATCAACCAGTTGACACCCTTCTTGATGCGGAAGGAGTAAAACTATACCAAAGTCTGTGGTTGGATCGCTACTGTATTTGTCTCGGGTATCACGGTATGATATCTGCTATGCAGTATTGCAACTGACGCGCGCTACAAGCAAACCATCGAAGCTACACCTTCAACAAGCAAAGCATTGCTTAAGGTATCTACGAGGAAAAACTGACCTTGACATCGAGTATAAGAGCGGTAGCTTCAAACTGGAAGGATTTTGCGATGCATCATTCGCTGCTAAGCCCCAGAAAAGGCGCAGTACCAGCGGCTACATGTTCATGCTATCCTCCGCTCCTGTCAGTTGGTGCAGTAGTCTTCGAACACTCACAGCACTGAGTACAGTCGAAAGTGAGTTGACTTCGATCGTTTATTGCGCAAAAGAGGCATGTCATCTTCGTGGCTTACTGCACGAGCTGCAGTTCAACGGTTTCTCAACCATTCCCATATCAAATGCTAATACGGGAGCCATGCCCTCTACTAGTACACCTACTATTTCAGCAAGGACGAAACACTTGCAGCTACGCAAAGCTTTCGCTGCTGATCTAATAGCAAGGGAAATAATATCCCTTCACTACGTACCTACGTCTGACTTGATAGCAGATGTGCTCACAAAAGGTACAAGTAAGGCGACACACAACAAACTGATCGCTCTTATACAAGACTTCGGCGATTTTTTACTGGCGGCGCCTGGAAAAAAAAGAAGAAAAAAAAAGGAAGAAAGTCTAGACTAGGCCTTTCTCTCGCGAAACACCTGTATATCTCGACGACCACGACGTCGATTCACAAGTGGGTTGCCGCACATGATGCAGAATAAGCAGGAAATGACCTGGATGTGTCTGCGCTCTGAATGACTGCCCCCTTTTGTCCATCTCGGTGCTGTTTTGCAGCGCACAACAAGCAGCACTTGTCAAAAAAATCATCTTCATATGCCTATATCTGTCTATCATCACTGCTGTAGCGTTTCAACACAAACGAAGCACGCCATCGTTCTCAACAGGAGGCCAGCGGTAGCACCACAGCGGTGATTCGAGCAACCAACATGTCCAGAGAGGTGGTGGCGCCTTGACATCCGCGCCTGTGATGATGTGTGCAGTGAAAGATCCCGCCTGTAACTCTGCTGCTTCTGCTGCTGTCCACATGAATTAATTCTCAACGGCAAAAATCGAGCATCAGATACGATCTCTGCTCTGCCTGATCTCTGTCTCACCCAGTTGTTGAGCACCACGCCAGACCACCATACACAAAAGAATAGCAGCAGTTGCTAGAGTGTAATATGGTGCCACTGCGTCAGTACGCCAACCGTTTGCATACATTGTTTGTTTGCGTCTGACCATCATGCATTATCAAGCCGCTTCTTTCCTACAGCTACTGTAACAGCAGCAGCAGCAGTAGCTGTGTCTGTGTGCTTGCGGCAAAGCAGAAGCAGCAGCAGCAGCGAGGGCGTGTTGCTTCCGTGTCCCACACATTCCTCCGCCTTCTCTGTGTGCTATGTGCTGTGTGCTGGGTATGCTGTGTCTGCTGTGTGCTGCCAAGATCGCAGCAGGTGATGTGTGCCCCGCCTGTGCCCCTTTTCAAACAAACGTGTCACGTCACCGACGGCAGCCAAAGTACCGGTCTATTTCTAGTACAAAAAACATGTGTCCCGCTACCGACGGGAGGCTCCGACAGTAAAAAATCGCCAAGATATGTCGTCTCCTAAAAACCGAAAATTGCTTAATTACTTGAGATTGTATGGATTAATTTAATATGCCAGAGCAGTGGCAAGTGTGAGAGGATTCGTAGAAGAACTGTTCCTCCGTACACTATTTCGCTCATACGGAAGCCGGGCTGCACTGACTGACACCTGGTACCAAGGCTATTCGTTGTATCAAAGTGTGGGGCGTGTGTGTGTGTGGTAGGGGACAGGTTTGTGTCCGTGAGCTTACCCGCCTTGAGTTCGATTCCCCTAACTTTGGCGATTTTTGCACATACATGGCCAAAGAGCGTCGACCGCATGGCGCTTGCGTCCAAAATAGGAGATCCTGCCTCCATATGTACTCCCCAAACCAGTGATGGACATCGTGTATCGATTGGCCGCATTCGATGTCGATATTTCAGCGATACTCAATATCGGCATCGCTGTTTTTTATTGCCGATATGCCGATCGATACAGTATAGACATCGTGTATCGAGTATCGACGATACCTGATACGATATTTTCCGACACGGGCCCCCCAAAACTATGGCATACCTTCAATTGATAACCGCGCCCCCCCCTGTACACAACACACAACACACTCCAAACGCCACGTACCTTCTGGGCGTATTGTTGTGGTTGTAATAATGCAAGATCCACATATATTATCCACAATCCACAACTAACTACGTCGGCTACATCACACGTCATTACGTCTCAACGGTGTATCATCGTCGTGCCTGCTGCTGCTGTGGAATTGGCCATAGAAAAATAGAAGAATCAATCGTGATCAGCTGATCGTGATGTTGGAAAGACAGGAAGACAGGGGGCATTTTGTTGTAGCCGCTTGAGATTTTCTGGGCAAATATCGTATCGAAACATCGATAATCGGAACATCGCCCACTTTGGCGAATATCGGAAAAATATCGATTATCGCCAATTTTTGGCTGATATTTTCAAAGATCGTATCGGCACCCATCTTGCGGGCGATGTCCATCACTGCCCCAAACCCAAAAACAGTTAATTAAATTAAACACCCCTTTATTTCTTCTCTTTTTAAAAAATTCAAATGTAACGAACGGTTACATTTGGAAGAGGCATTATTTTGAAAAAGGCAACTGCGATTTTTTGGTTTCTAAAAAGCAACTGGGCCCCACTGCTTCACAACCATTTTGATCCCCTCGCAAAACCCTCGACAACAAACAAGAAGCAGCATGTCTATCCCGATTGCCCTCATCAGTGATGTTGAGTTGCAAGCCATCCGGGAAAACTCACGTAGTCCACAATCGACATCATCGATCAAAAGATCCAACACCAACGTCATGAAGAGGACAACAACGGCAACAACGGCAACAACGGCATCATCAGCAACAAAAAACAGAAGACGGATACAGGTCTCGATTTCAAGGACTACGCCGACATCGGACTTGACAGTCCGATGAACGAAGACGACGAGCTGGGGCAGCTCGAACACCTATTTTTAGGAGAACCAGGCATCGCAGCGGACCACAACATGGCCTTCACAACCATCGAGCAGCAACAAGAAGAAGAACCAGACCACAACCTGATTGCAGCGGGTGTAGAAGCATCATCACAACCTGGTGAGACGGTTCACCCTCCGAGGCGGGTATTCCCGTTCAGCGATGTCATGGATATCATAAACGAAGAACAAGACATGTCCTTGACACCAGCATCATCAAGCCAGACGGTGTATCCAGCATCACCACAGCTGGAGCACGAACCTGATTTTTACAACTACATGGACACCTCGTCAGAAGGAGCACTGTCGGAACACTCCGATGATCCTGACTACTCCCCGTCGACCTCCACAGGAGGAGGAGGAGATGACGGAACCACCGAGACAGGTGAAAAGCATGTAGATGTTGGACCAAGCCAAAGGGCATACAGCAAGTGCTGGGGAGAATTCTCTAGGATGATGATGCACGTATCACTTCAAGAACATGAAATAGAGCCAGTACACGCTTTGCTCAGTTCGCTCAATTTCGGAGACGAACAGATGTACCCAACTTTCCACGATTTCATGTTTAGTCTTCGCGAGCTAGCCTACGTAGAGGACATGGTAAACATTTTGCAAGAAATACTGTGGAACACTCTCGTCACGTGTTGGGTACTATCTGGACCAATCTATGGGGAGTAAAGTTTTAGCAGTGATTTCAACAAACTGTGCTCTGCGAGCAATTGTATCGCAGAGAATACTTACTACGGTATCCAAACGGCCCGTACACAAAGAATGCATCAAGAATCGACGACAGATCGATTTTGATACGATATGATGTCTACAACTCAAGATTAGCACTCTTCTCAATTTCCCACATGTTTTTGCCCTCATTTATTTACGCTTTTTTCTGTTATATCACAGAATCAGGGCATGGAGGAGAATGTGGATGGAAAGAAGGAGAATCGCCGGAAGCAGGATTTCTGAGCGAAATGGCCGCTGCTGCTGCCGCTGTTATTTTCTGCTGGAAAAGCGGAAAAATGCTGAAGGACGTTTTGAAGGTGTTTTTCTAGACAGTTGGGGAAGGGCATTTTTTTTTACAGTCCATACTAAAAACCATACGGACTTAAAATCTGACGGAATCAATACAAGCTATTGTGATTCCAGTTTATATTTGATACGGAATCAATACGAGCTATTATTGTGATTCCAGTACAAAGTACAAGTTTGAGTTTTCACTTGTTTTTTCCGTCGTTGTCAAAACAAACGACAAGTACCAAGCGTACATGATATGAATGAATCGAAATAGGATCTAACGAGGTTATTTCAATCCGAATGAACGAGGTATTTGCCGAATGAACTGGTAAAACGCAAAATGCTTTTGGCAATAAGCAGAATCGGACACTTTATCTTCAAAAGATCAAAGTTTTTTCGCAATCCCGTGTAGAAATGGTTCTTGTTCGTATACAATCAACCAACTAGCACAGAGAGGGGATTTAAGCAAGCATACAAATTGAGTTTTCAAGCCGTATTCACTCTATCCTTGAAAAAAGGAGGAGGAGATAAGCATTTCGGCGAAGTTGGTTTTCTCTCTTTGTTTGGTACACTATGATCAAGTAATCGTAACGGACGATGTTTTGAGCGACCTCAATCGCGGAGGAGTGTTGGAAATATCAGTATCAACTGATTGATATAAGACTGCTGTTATACGTATTCTCTTGAGTACAACACAGTATACGATGTCACATACATCATGAGCGATTTCAGTAGCAGAAAACTATACCGGTTTCAGTGTACGTGATATGGCACACCAAACGCGGTGTAACAAGCTATTAAGGAAGTAACTTCAACTTGAAGAACGATATTTCAGGAAAGGTATCTAGAACGATCCACCGATGGATGCGGTAGATTCCGTAACGGTTCGTAGAATATTTCCTAGATCGGGCGCACTTTCGTAGAACGGTTCTCAGGAACGTTCTCAGGAAAGTCCAGAGTAAGATTAGCAAGGTCCCCGGAACGTTTCCGGAAGAATGCTTTTGGTCTTATAGAACGGTATTTGGTTCCCAGAACGTTCCCAGAACGGTTCCGGACCAGTACTCAAGTTCTTCGTAGTTTCGTCGGTAATCGACAAAAACGCTGACCAGGCAGAGCGCACGCCCCCCACCGGAGCTCACTCTGTTTCCTGCCCAGCTCAACAATACAACAATTTTGTATCGTACAACATCTGTTTCTCATTTGTTTCTCTTTGAACCAAATACCATTTGGTTGTAGACTCACGTCTACAGTGCACCTCAGCACACCTGTCAACAAGGTGTGGCACACGCTTCTGTTATCTTGCTCGCTCACTGCTGCTACCGCCGTAGCACAGGTCACTTGAACAGATAGTCTAGACTTCTGACTTGCGTCACCAGCCTATCTATTATCTTGTTTTTAGTGAGGACCTCTTTTCAGCAGATCTGACGTTCGCTGAAAAGAACACACCAAGCAATCTAACTCCAGCAAAACCACCAGGGAACTGTTCTTGACCACACAGTCTTAGCAGACCCTAAGCCTCTGATTTTCTACATGGTGCATGTGGGACAGCGCTTCGAAAAACTGTCGCCGCATGTTACCCACGCGCATTTGAAAAATGGAGTAGACTACAAGTCCGTACACAGGTGGCAGTGACCAGAAACTCACCGCATCTCGTGAGTAAAATAAGGAGAGCTCCGAATAAACATGAATGCACTTACTCATCCCATACTTTGTACGTGCACCTGATATGCATTGAGAGGAGGGGTCAAAGGGGCAGAGACAGCGAGCAATATATATATCTTTCTAGCTTGCCCTCCGACAATTGTAGACACATGCACGAAAACTTTCGAAACTTTCAATTTTTCCAGGAACAAATTTCGTACAGACCCGGGGGCGACCTGGCCATCAGACAAAGTTCCTGCAGCCGCAGGTCAAGAGAAGGGAACAGCGATGAAGGGAGCGTTCGAAGGTGTACTGCGCAGCAGTATAGCGACACTGGTGTGAACGACAAGCGAAGAAACAGGTACAAGTACGAATAGGCGAAGCCCCGCTGAACACTGCTGTGTCTTCACCGATACACCACGAGAATCGAGACGGCCGTGGCTGAGAGGCCCCCATTCCCGAGTTCGTTCGCGTACATCACGTGGTGAAAGAGGGCAACTCGGTACCGAGCTAAGGCACAGTTCTCTGAACTTGTCTCGGAACTCTTGGTTACTTGGTGGTCTCCATCTCGAGGCTCACCTCCCATACATAAGGGGTCCAACAAAAAAAATATATATATTTCGCGCGAAGCGCGAAAAGAAGGGTCGGAGAGAGACATCAAAGCAAGCGTAGATAAATATGGATGGAGCCTACGCCACCACGTAGGTCACCAGTGCGCACGCTCACACCTCACCCGATACCACCAGTCCGTCAGGGGATGAATAGGAGAGCTGTTTAGCTCTCATCATCATCAGCTCAGCGGCAGCAGTGCTGCTGCTGCTGCTGCTGCTTGCTGTTGCTGCCGGCGCTGCTGCTGCTGCTGTGCATGGGTGCGCACTTGCTTTCTTCGCTTTCGCTACTAGCAGAGGGCAACAGGCTCGAAAAATTGGACCCGACCCCTCCCACGACGTGCGTATTTGGCCGCCCATGGCTTACAGCGCTGTGTACGTCTCACTTGTCTCTGTTTCTGGGGTGCATCTGTTGTGGAAGCAAAGATCGGCCGGCAGACGAAGAGACAGCAGACAAAGATCTCACTTGTGTGCACTCGCATGTTCCCTCGCTTACGCTGCTAGCAGTAGGCCTCGGGGTCTAAAAATAGCTTCCGACGCCAGCCATGATGTGTGCCTTTGGCCGGCCTTGGCCTACAGCAGTGTGTAGGCCTCGTTTTCTCTGTTGTGGGGATACGTCTGTGCGGGAAGCTCCAAAGATCGGTAGGTTGAGGGTGATGCAGACTGACCGCGGGTTGACTTGCGTCGTCACTCGCTTGTGCTGCCGACAGCAGGCAACGGGCCGCAAGAGTCCAACCCAACGCCTCCCATGATGTATGCCTTTGGCTGCCCTTGGCCTACAGCAGTCCGTATACTGCTGTGCTGGTTGTATCGTATGTTGTCTACGTGATGTGTATGGTGCTGCTGTGCGAGAGGATTTCAGTGATTCTGCCGAGAGCGTCGTGCCCATCGCCCAATCATCTGTCTCTGTCTTACAAAATGTCTTACAAACTCGACGGGTGATTGGTGGGAGCATCAACCCGGCTCTACCCCTCTAAAACACAGATAGAGGGCATACCATTCAGGTTGTATCATGTTAGCTTGGTTCTTGTTATGGTGGGTGTTGGTAAACACCATCATCAGTAGAGCATGGAAAGTTTCCAAATGATATACATCCAATGTGTGGTGGTTGTTGTCAACTTCCCTGGTGTTTCTCAAAGCGGTTTGTCGAGATATCTTGTCGCAGCCATGTCGTAATCACGTCGTAAAGCATCCGTCATGAAGGTCAGCAGCAGCAGCGAGTAGCAGTTGGTCTCTCCGTGTGGAGCAGTGGTGTGGACATGTTACGGAGTGGCGAAGGACACAACACGTAGAAATTACCCACCTGGATGTACAGCGATCAGCAGCGAAGACGATGTGTGTCAGCCACGAGATCAATATGGGATAGCACCTTAGCACGAAACCCGATACAGCCTTCATAGATGCAGCTGTATGATTGCTGTATGCAATGATACGTACATGCGGTGTGATATGTGACGTTTGGGAAAACGTAACATGTAGACTATGACGAGTTCTAGCGAGGAACTCACGAATGAATTAATGGTTGAGCAGAGGATTGTAATTGTAGCGAGATCACGAGGTGTTGCGAGCCCCACCGGGTTCACTCCCCAACTATCCCTCAACATCTCACCTCTGCAAGTACGCTGAAGAAGAAAGAAAGTATAAGTCCCAAAAGCGGCATCTAGAAACAACATCGACTTCGGTCACTGTCTCAACAGACTTCGGTCTACACAGACTTCGGTCTGCACATCACACAGACTACTGTCTGGAACTGCACATAGGCTTAACCGCCTGCAGACACGACCCTTGGGTACAGGGCACCTCGACACTACACATTTCTATATGGATGATGGTTGAGAAGCACGATGACCACTAGACTGCTAGTCAGCCTAGACTACTCGTCAGCGCTGACTAGTAGTCTAGTGGTCATCGTGGCTTCTCAACAAAGTCAATGCCCGTGTCCGATGTAGCTTTGCAGCCACGAACACGTCCCCCCAGGGTTGCCATCCCTGTGATCAGCGCTGTCTTGCCCGGAAATTGCATCGGTACAAGAGGTACATCGGCTTGCTTTGCGAAGTCTCATAGACTCTTTCTCCTCATACATCGGGCGCAAAGAGAGTTATGCTCAAGGGGAGAATCGAACCCCGGACACTGTCTTTTGTTGAGAAG